GGAAGTTGTAGAGGTTTAGTTCGCATGAGTTTTAAAGTTGCGAAGGTTGAAAAACACTGGCATAGAAGAACAATGGGGGCCAAGAGCTACCCTTCCCTGATATTCACTAGATATCTTTGGATTCTGGTTTTCATCACGTGACCAAATGCTGGAGATAATGGGAATTGTAGTCCAACATCCATATTTGGACTTTTTGGATCTTTGCATAAAAATCCTCATAAACCTCTCTGCAAAAGTAACCATTGTGACACTTACTTTTCTTAATATAACAGCCACTTTTCCTATTTTTATAATTGGTTTTATAACTTTCCTGTATAAACGTGTGGTCTCAAAAAGGCACAGACGTGAACAGATATTCAGAGTGTATGTATTAATGCATCTCTTTATTGCTTATATTGTCAATAAATGTGAATTCCCCTCTTGACCTCAAAAAACAAATCTTATGGATTTTGAAGCATGTAATCTTGACATGAAAGGCTCCAGTTATCAATATGGTCCATCAGAACCTTTTCTTCATAGCTTCCTTCAGACACATCTCTTACAACAACCTATATTTTATTGAGCTAACTACACATTACGATAATTTCTAGCCAGTTATTTCTAAAACATTCTGCCAATCATGATAGAGAACTGTTATCCTGGCAACACATAGCACTTTGTAACAGTTTTGGCATTGAGTCATACGCTTAATAAGATTCCTAGAAGCAGAAGGTGCTTATTTTTATTTCCCAGGAAATGTTGGTTTAATCCAGGTAACCATAGGTACAATATATGTCCCAAGGGGACCAACATGGACCAGTAAACATAATAGTGACCCACTTGGGGATCCATAAAAAGACTGGTTTTGCTGGTGAGTTGGACTGGTAAAAAATAGGAGTAGGCAAAGGAAAACATTTCTCAATATCAGAAATGTTGTCCCAACTAGCAGACAGGCTGTGAAAAGCACACATTTTTCAAGAGCTAGGCGAGGAAATTGGCACACGTTCTCAACTCTAATGAATGTGATCCAATTTCCTTCATCTAACAGATTAGAAACAAGTTGAGTTTGGCAGCCTCTGTTTCCTCCACAGAGTGCCACGGAACAACATTGTTCCTTGGATATTTTGGGATAGAAATAATGGTAGGAATGTGCAGAGCAGAATAAAAGCAATTTGTTTTACTGTCTGCGTTATTAGGCAAGTGGTTTTATAGAAGTCATCCTGGGAGGACATCTTTCATAATTCTTCCTGTGGGATTGAATTAAAGTGTAAGAAACTAGTTGAAGACAGGACAGTACAATGACATTCTGGATATATCTTGAAATCAGTTCCTCTAATTTGGTTGGGCACTGAAAAAAACCCTTTGATATGGTTCCAACTGAATTGATTTAGTGTATTATGGGCTTTTACCATCTCTGAATTCAATTTGGTATCTTCACCCCATGGCTGGAGTTATTACAAGCAGATTTGTCTCTCAACTCTTGAGTTCCATTGTGGCACCTGTCAAAGATGTCCCTTCTCTCCTTCAATTTGGTTGTCAAACCACTGACTTCTTCTATGAGATAATTACAAGATATTAACAGTGTGGTGGCGCTAAATATAAATTGTCCTTATTTGCTCGTGGTATCATGGGTATCCGTGATAATTATGCAAAGCTATTGCCAAAGCTTACCAAAGTTGTAGAGCAGTATGGTTTATACTCCAGCTATACCACTGTCCAGAAAAAATTTAATTTGCTGCTCTTAGGTTTCATTATATCTATTTAGAGATTAGGGTTTATAATCTGTACTGACTTCATAGAGAGCCAGTTTGGTGTAGTGGTGAAGGCACCAGGCTAGAAACTGGGAGACCCTGAGTTCTAGTCCTGCCTTAGACACAAAGTCAATGGGGGAACTTTAAGCCAGTCCTTCTCTCTTAGCCCTAGGAAGAAGGCAGGGGCAAACTTCTTCCAAAAGTGAACCAGTTTGGTGTCCTTGTTAAGGTACCAGGCTAGGATAATGTGTTCTAATCCTGCCTTAGGCACGAAGCCAACTGGGTAATCCTGGGCCAGTCACTCTTTCTAAGCCCTAGGAAGAAGAAGGCAATGGCAAACCACTTCTGATATCTTGCCAAGAAAACTGCAGGGACTAGTCCAGGCAATCGCCAGGAGTCAACACTGACTTGAAGGCACAAAAATCAAACCAAACCAACCCCCTGACTCCATAAAACACTTTCTCAAAATATATCACAATATGTTGAATCCAATATGTCTTAATGTATAGACACAAATTCAATAGATATAACTCAATGGTTGAAACTTCCATTAAGTCTCTGGGGTAAGATTAACATTATTAAAATGAATATTACATTGAGATTAATGTATATTTTATGAAGGGTTTCATTGTTAATCCCTATTAGATATTTAAACAGATAAACGAGAACAATTTTATAGCTGGCTAAACCCTTGGCTGAATTGAGGTTACTTTATGGTGATGGCAGCTTCAGGTTGACAGATTTTCAATTATGTCATTGAGCTTTTATTCTGTATTCTTGTGGAATCAGACCTTTTATGAATATTCCCCTCTTTGGGGCTATTTGGAGAGTAATTATGTAATACCTCTGAAATCTGGAATTGAAATTGGACTAGTTTTAGGGCCCAGGTATATTAAACATTGTTACAAGTTTGTAAGCTGCCAGACATATTTGGTTATGAACAGGCACGTGGTTCTGTTTTGATCCCAAATCCCAAGAGAAATTGACATTGTGGAATAACCTGGATTTGAAAATAGAGGGGAAGGTGTTTTATTGGAATGGTGGGAGACCAAAGCATCAACACTTGGAATCAGTTGATTTCTAATGGTTGTTTCAAAGAGTTTGAGAGGTTGTGTTTTGCATATGAGTTATCCATAACATTTACTTGGCAACAGATACAGTTGAAACATGAATTAACTAAACGGTCTAGCCCTGATGCTTCAGCACTCTTAGAGATACCTGCAATTTTATGAACCTTAAAAAAAAAATGCAATGTTCGAATGGAAACCAGCAATCCAATTTTATAAGGAATTAAAATGTAAAGCGGTGGTTAGTATTAACTATAGAGATGAACCATTGAAGAACTGGAATGTTTAATTTTGGAGAATCAATGGATTTAGTTGTGGAGTCCTTGGGGCTCTCTGAGCTTGGTTGTTTTCTTGCAAACATTTCGTTACCCGGCTAGGTAACATCTTCAGT